GACCTCGGCACCGAGTACAAGTCCAACTTCCGTCGGCAGGCCGAGCGGGACGGCACGGAGGTGGTACCTTCTTCCTTGGAAGCTCCCTACCAGAGGGGCTTGACTGAAAGAGCAGGAGGAGTCTTCAAGAACATCCTTTACAAGGCCATGCAGGACTACGATTGCCAGTCTGATGCTGACTGGAGAGAATTGGTGGATGTTTCTTGTATGATGCGGAACCGGCTGCTCATTCGGGGGGGATACTCGCCCATCCAGCGAGTCATCGGATACAGTCCCCGCCTCCCAGGAGGCCTCCTAAGTGGCGCAATCTGGATAGCTTCCTCTGGGGCCTTGCTCTGGCGGAGAATTCTGACAAACCGGTTGTGATCCGGGTGTCCTAGGCCTTCGTGGGCACGACGCACCAACTTTTCCAAGGTGACCTGGCGAAGACCAGGAAACTGTTTCATCCGTTTCTCCGCCGCGGGATCAATCTTTGCCTGGTACACGGTGGCCACCCAGTCTTGAAGAGGAAGACGCCGTTGCTGGTCCCGGAGGTCCTGCCATCGGACCTCATCTTCATGGAGAGTCCAGCCGCTGTCTTTGGTCCGGACCCACGTGCTTCTCCAAGGAAGACCGTAAGCGGGGTGATTGGCCTCGGGAGTGGTGACATTGCCGGTGAAGCCAATCGTGATTCGGAAGCTCGTGCCATCCCTCGGCTTCTGCATGTTCGGCCGCACCGTCGTAGGAGTCCGGGAAGATCGCCCTCTGAATCTCAGAAGCCTCGTCTTCCTGGTGGAAGATCTCGGGGAGATTCGGTGGGCTCGTCTCCTCGGGGTAGTCTTGACCGATCTGGCTGAGCTCGGTCTTCGTGAAGTAGGCCTCGTCCACGCGGCGGTCCTCAGCAATGACCTCGGAAGAACGGGACACCGTGATCTCCTTGGGGTCCCGGAAGTTCGCCTTGGCATAGGGGGCGATGAAGAGAGAAACCAGCCGTCCACGGTCCGGCGGACCTGCAGATCCAACTGATCGAGCCGCTGATCCGGCAACCCCGGAGCTATTGGTGAAAACACCGGAGCTTCCAGATCCGTCTCCTTGGTCCGAATCGGGTAATCCGGGATGAACAGATCCATAGCGGACGAAAACTCCTCCGTCAATGGCCCCAAGAGGTTGGAGACACCGGGCTTGCCATGAACGCGAGGGCCAAGGGCAGTCAACTGCGAAAGACAATCCCAGCCTGGAACAGAGTTGACC